GAGTGGCATAGTGATAATATTCTCTAAAACCTCTGGTCTTCCTCCTAACAAATTCTCTGTCTTCCCTTGACAGGATTATTATATTATTACCTCATTTTATTGGCGGAAGAAGAAGGTGGGCGAAGTGAAAGGAGAAAGAGCGATACAGAGCATCTGTCTTTATAGCCTCAGATGGCTCTGCCTCAGAACTCAGAATCCAAGAAGTTAAGCTAAAAATGATGAAAAGAGTCTAGACCTTTGTCCTGTTGAGGCCAGAAAGAGTGCTAAATAGTCAGTAAAAGTCTTCTTTTTGAGGTCCTTTTTGACCACATGTTAGCTGAGTACTATTTAGCCACAAATTACAACCTATTATTTGTTTAATGTACAGATTTCTTATGCACAAAAAATACACACAGTGCTGTCCAATACTTTAGATTTTTTTATGATTAAGTTAAATCATTAAATAATCAATATTTTTTTTAATCATTAAGAATATGATTCAGTTTTTTAAATAGTTTATAATTTTATTTTGTTTTATATTCTTTTAAGCAAATGTAAACAGGCAGGACAAAACTGGATATATAAAAATATTTTTTGTTAAATAGATTGTTAAATCGAATTAAAAGTCTTTATTAAACATTTTTTATTTTATTATTTTTTATTTGTTTTATTTTGTTTTTATTTTCTTCATAATAATAATAATAATAATAATTATTATTATTATTATTGTTAATATTACTATTGTTTTTATTATTGTTATTTTGCAAGATTATTAAGTTATTTCATTTTATTGTATTTATATAAGTGTTTTATTTTTATAAGTATTTCATTTTTGTTTTGTATATGTAAAAATATGGCATCTGTGCATTTGGTCTTGTAGAGTAGATAAATGTCTACTCTTATAAATGTAGAGTAGACTCTATTTTACTAAATGCAAATGAAAACTAGGTTGTAAGGGACATAATATATAGTGTGTACAATGGGTTGCAGTGTTTGTACCTTCTTAAATCGATAAAGCATTGAAAATACATTGTTCTGAAAAATGTTCTGTAAAAAATGGGATGTGAAAATAAGATATGACCTAAAACAGTAGAATGTGTTAAACGCACAGCTTTTTTCTCACACAGCTTCATTTTTATTCACATCAAGTTAAATATGCTGTCTTCTCTGACTAATGCCCATTGAAGACAGTGGCAATAAAGATGGACATTTATTGAATTGAAATAGGAATCTAAAAGAAAACAAAGTGGTATTCTCATTATCTGGAAGTGAGATAAATGAAGTGGTGGAAGTGGCTTGGATGGTGGACCTATAGCAGCGTTAATGAAGGGTCATATTCACCTTGTGAGACTCAGCACTAGACCCTTCAGCAGTGTTTCTGCTCCACGTTGCTCTCCTTGACCACATGTGCGCTGTCAAAGTCACTCAGTCGTTCACTCATTCACTACTCCCTGTATAGTCCATGCCACATGGTGCACCATATGGGTAAGCAATGAATGCAAATGAGTGAGTGATTTTGGATGCTCAGGTAAATACACTGTAAGAAAAAAAAATCTGTAGAAAAATGAAAGAGGTACTGGGCATTTTCTGTCAGAAATTTTGGATATTTCTTACATTATGGTACGTTATCTTACATGTAACTTTGAATACAAGGATCAACAACAAGCGTACCTTATTAAGGATTTATTTTATTTTATATTTATATTTGTATTTAATTTTTATAAGTGTTTTTTCATTTTATTTATCTTACATGTACAGTACTTTGTTAACAACAGTCAACGTGTGAACAAACATACTTAATTTAGCATATTTTATTTTATTCAATTCAATTCAATTCAAGTTTATTTGTATAGCGCTTTTCACGATACAAATCATTGCAAAGCAACTTTACAGCAAATTAAGTTTCTACAATATTTAGTGGTAGCTTATCAGTGGTGACTGTCAGGAAAAATCAGTTAAAGACGTAATCAAACAGACAATGAACACTATTAACAGCAATTGTTATATGATGCAATCAAACTTATAGCAAAATGTGGTAGTTCTGTATGTTGTTTCAGGGTTGGCATCATCTGAGGTCCTCTGAGGGGTTGGCATCACACTCTTCTCAGGTGTTCTGGATCCAGACTGACATCCCGTGGCAAAAACAGAGAAACAAATAGAGACATAATTTAGCGTTGATTTTTTTTTTATAAACTACAGGTAACTTACTTTGTAAACAAGAATTAATGAACACATATTTTATTAAGTTTTATTAATTTATTTTAATTACATTTTTAAGTATTTAATTCAATTTAATTTCATTTTTAAAGTATTTTATTTTATTTTGTAAGGGATTTAATTTTATTGCATTATTTTATTTCAAATCATTTTTGCAAAAACTGACCCATTCATGTTGTGCAGCATTTTATACTTATGTAAAATAAGTCCATGAACAAATCTACTCAAGGAGCAGCATAGTGTTCTCATGCTTCCCTAAAGCAGCAGTATCTATGGCATTCTAGGGTGAAGCAGTGCTACGTTCCTGCGTAGAAACAGCATTCATCTCCCAGTCATGTTAATTCATCAAGCCATTAAAATGCTGCTGATATCTGCTCCTCATGTCAACACTTTGATAATTCCTCTTTTATCCCTGTCAAAATAAATTAGAATGACGTGATATTTCAGCTTTTCGTGGTTGGTAAATCCTGCTTAATTCAGGACTTCTGACAGGGACACCTGCCTTTCCGCCCAAAGGTTATGACACATAACGGGTCACACTGTGTTTATGAGGAGATTATGGTGCTTTATGAGGACTGGCAGCATGGCACAGGGGTGAAGATGGGAGATTATGGGCGAGTGCTTTAGTGGTTTGTGGCATCTGTCTGCACACGTTCACACTTTCCTTCTTAAAGAGGTCATATCATACATTTTATATCATTGTTCATAGTAGTTGGTCTCTTCTGTTGTTCCTTTAATGAATTCATATCACGAGGAATCTAATTTCCATTGATCTTTTAAGATGAAAGAGCTCTATGAACTATGAAAACATACTGTAACTTTCAAAACTCAAAACTTTCTCCCCAGTCCAAAAAACTCTGATCTTAACAATTTGTGCAGCACGTTTCAGTGTGGATTGTCTTGTGATCTTGTCACAATGCAATGCAAGCTGTTATCTATACAGTTGAAAACTATATTTCACACAACAGCAAACGCACAAGCTGGTGTGTGAGCACTGCTTCTCATTTCATTTGCAAAGCAGGCGTTTCTTAAAGCCACAGAGGCAACTTCTTTTGCTAAGAGAGATGGTGGAAAATGTCCATGAAAAACTCAAATATGGCTGTGTAAACACTCTCAGTAACATCATTCAGCCAGACTGTTTGCTGTCCGTTGCAATTGTTTACATTATCTGCCAGTTATTGTTTACATTATCTATCTGTTATTATCTTGTATTACCTTGTATTGTAAACAACAATAAACACATATGAACAAGCGTACATTAAGCATATTTCATTTTATTTTTGTATTTAATTTAATTTAATTTATTTTTGTGTTTTGAATTTGTTTTTTTTTTGTAACTTTCTGTGTTTTATTTTTGTATTTTATTTTGTTTTGGTAAATGTTGTATTTTTGTAAGTGATGTAAAAAAAATTAAGTTACTTTTAAGCTAACTTCATTGTTTCTAGTATCTAGATTGTTTAGACTGGTTTTGTGAATCAGTTCAATATGTTCATTAAAAATGATCAAAATAACAATCGGTTCACTAATCTGACAATGCTTTTTACAAAGACTGCACATTATTGTCAAAGATTAATAAACTAATCTGCATTGAAAAGTGTCAAATGAACTGATAAATCCAGACTGAAATGATGAGGGACATAATGTTTTAGAATAAATCACAAATTGGAAAATTTAATTTACAAATGAAAATGAATATCGTTTGTAATGTTGGATTCATTCGGAAGGATGTTTCATAAATTTGGGTTTCTGACATAATAAATCCAATGGGTTTTTATAATGGGTTGGTTTTTAAAGTTAAAGCATGTTTTGATTAACTTTTTTTTTCTTTTCTTTTTTTTAACCAAAGATCAAAGACAATCTGATTTCTCATATGACCCCTATAATAGCATTTATTCTCCTCCCTCGAGATTCTCTTTCTCTCTCTCCCAGTTTCCCTTCGTTTTCTCATCCACCCTCAGTCTGTATCAGCAAACATCCTCCGTCTTCCTCTGCTGAGCAACTTTGCCCAACTCCCTGTGAACTCTCCCAGAGTTGCGTCTTTGGAGTTTGGCAGAAAGAGGGAAAGTGAGGCTTTTAAAAGTTCTGTGTGGAGGGTTTTCACTTTTCACAGTTGCTTTCGACACTGTGTCAGCTTGTTTGTGAAATCTTTTTCTGAGTTAGCAAAGCTTATAAGAGACTTACGCCATGTGTTTTTGTGCAGCTGGCTCTCACATTGAGTGTGCGCCTGTATGTGCAGAGTAAGATGTCACTCTAGTCCTAGAAAATGAAAAGCAATTGGGGACTAATAGAAGGTATTTTTCGTACAGTGAAAATACCCGTAGGAAAGTAGGATCACGTATGACACGTCTTTATTGTTTTCCAACCACAGAGCAAACTGAACTTTTGCTTCCATTTTAATTTCATAAATCTTGTCTTGTGCTTCTCAGATTTTTCTCCTGTAATTTTTCTTCTGTATCTCCAAAGGTTTCACAAGAGATCTTAACAATAAGAACTTTTTGATCAAATGATCAGAGCTATACTATTCATATTCATTGTATAGCTCTATACTCTTAGCATAGCATATGTCAACAATTGTCTGATTTTTATATACAAACATGTGATATTTCTCAGAAGTTTTATGCTTTAAATAGGGTGAGCTCCCCATTAAGTCTCATCATCTTATGAAAGAGCAATCTCAGAGCAATAATGTGTCCCTTCTGGGAGTTAGTCTACATTATAATGCCAAGCCTACCTACTTCTGTTTCCATAACCTTTGAAAGGTTTTGTAAATTTCCGTTTGCCTTTCTCTCTCTCTTTCTTTGCAGGTAAAGTGCTGAATGCTGATTTGAGGCATTATCTTAGTCTGCAGTTCCAAAAAGGATCAATTGACCACAAACTGCAGCAAGTGATCCGAGACAACCTGTACCTGCGCACCATTCCATGTAAGACACACACATACACACACAGTCTGTTCATTTCTTATTTATATTCATATTTATTTGTTAAAATAAATGTATTTCTTTTAAATAAGTCATTTATTTATTTATTTGCATATGTTTTATTTGTACGGAGCCCCGCACATGACATGCAAGAAAAAATAATAAATTGTGCGCACGATTTACTAATTCGTTCCCTCGATGTAATAAAACGTGCACACGATTACTATTTCGTTCCCTCAATTTGCTAATTCGTTCCCTCGATTTGCTAAATCGTGTGCACAATTTACTAATTTGTTCCCTCGATGTAATAAAACGTGCAGACGATTACTATTTCGTTCCCTCAATTTGCTAATTCGTTCCCTCGATTTGCTAAATCGTGTGCACAATTTACTAATTTGTTCGCTCGATTTATAAATCGTGTGCACGACTTAGCAAATCAAGGGAATGAATTAGTAAATCATGCGCACAATTTATAAATCGAGGGAACGAAATAGTAAATCGTGTGCACGATTTAGCCTACTATTTTTTTCCTGCATGCCATGTGCAGGGCTCCGTATATTTGCAATATTGTTTTACACACAATATTTTTCATAAATATGAAAAAAGTGTGACTGAAGAAGTGCCAGCTCACTGCAAAAAATGCTTTTCATACTTAGATTTTTTGTCTTGTTTCCAGACAAAATATCAAAAAATTCTTAAATCAAAGAAGGATTTTCTAGACAAGTAAAAATTATTGTCTTGTTTTCAGAAAAAAACATGTCAAAATTAAGTGAGTTTTTGCCTGAAACAAGCAAAATAATCTGCCAATGGGGTAAGCAAAATAATCTTAAAGCAAAATAATCTGCCAATGGGATAAGCAAAATAATCTTGTTTTCTGTTTGAAATAAGATTATTTTGCTTACCCCATTGGCAGATTATTTTGCTTGTTCTAAGCAAAAACGCACTTAATTTTGACATGTTTTTTTCTGTAAACAAGACAATAATTTTTACTTGTCTAGAAAATCCTTCTTGATTTAAGATTTTTTTTATATTTTGGCTGAAAACAAGACCAAAAAAAACTAAGTAAGAAAAGCAGTTTGTAAAATGTATAAAATACATTAGAATAAAATACAATTTCATACATATAATACAAAATATAATTATGTAAGATCATTTAAGCATATATATGTCCACTCTGTCTTTCTCTGGCAGTCTGGTTATCTCATCTTACCTTTCGGTCTTTTCCCATTTGGTGTTTAGAGTGAATCCTTTGGCTGTTTCTCACACTGGTGTGTCTATTAGTGTAGTTGGGGAGACAGAGCTTCTCCTAAGGCGAAATCTCTCGTGTTGGTCTGGCCCTCTGCAGCACACCGCCAGCTCTCCTCTGTGATGTGCTGCGTGAGATGCTGTTTCTCTTGAGAGTTGTGGCGTGGCTTTCTGAGAGCATGTTTCTTCTCCAAGCAGTAGCACACTGCTCATTAGTTTCTCATTCAGCGAGTTCGTTATTCCCTATTTAGTCTAATTTGATAAGTGACAGTGACAAATGTGTCACGAAACACTCTGAGGGGCAAATTTACTACGACACTTTAGTATGAGATATTTCAGTGCAAAAAAAAAATTATAATAAATCTGCATCTTACTTACATGCTACCTACACTTCCTGCAGCATAATCTGTTTACCTGTTTTATAAAATCATTTCAGTCTTTTTTTTTAGGAGGGGAGACAGAGCCTCTCCTCAGGCGAAATCTCTCGTGTTGGTCTGGCCCTCTGCAGCACACCGCCAGCTCTCCTCTGTGATGTGCTGCGTGAGATGCTGTTTCTCTTGAGAGTTGTGGCGTGGCTTTCTGAGAGCATGTTTCTTCTCCAAGCAGTAGCACACTGCTCATTAGTTTCTCATTCAGCTACTTCGTTATTCCCTATTTAGTCTAATTTGATAAGTGACAGTGACAAATGTGTCACGAAACACTCTGAGGGGCAAATTTACTACGACACTTTAGTATGAGATATTTCAGTGCAAAAAAAATAAAAAAATAAATCTGCATCTTACTTGCATGCTACCTACACTTCCTGCAGCATAATCTGTTTACCTGTTTTATAAAATAATTTCAGTCTTTTTTTTTAGGAAAAACATACCTTTCTATGCAACTGTACATTTTTATAGAATGCACCAAACATGTAAAATTAATTGCTTATTGACAAACAAATTCATTTTAATGCAAGTTTGTCACAAAACCATACTGAACCTGAATAATACATTTTTCCTAATCTGTTTAAAAAAAAAAAAATTAAATGAAACATTTGATAATTGATTATGGTGTACACTACATAAAATACAACTAAACACTGCGAAGTATAATCCGTGTATCATTCGATCATTCGTTTTTTGATTTAATATTGAAAGTAGAAAAATGAGAAAACGGCTCCTTTTTCGTTTTTTTGTTTTTTTTTAAAGGAGCCGTTTTCAAATTTTTCTACTTTCAATATTAAATAAAAAAACGAATGATCGAATGATACACGGATTAAGTATTATTACAATGTAACAATTTCTCATTTTTAATTGAAAACGGAATTTTCAGCATCATTACTCCAGTCTTCAGTGTCACATGATCCTTCAGAAATCATTCTAATATGCTGATTTGCTGCTCAAGAAACATTTCTTTTTATTATCAATGTTGAAAACAGTTGTGCTGCTTAACATTTTTGGTGGAAACCAAAATGTTTTGAGGAATAGAGGTTTCAAAAGAACAGTGTTTGTTAAAACAGAAATCTTACATCATAAGTGTATTTACTGTCACTTCTGATCAATTTAATGCATCTTTGCTGAAATCTTACTGACCGCACAAAGTTTTGAATTATGCTAGAAGATATATAGTACGATATAGTTATGCTGTGGGATGTATAGTATATATTTTCCTAAATTAATATTCTCCGATACTTTTTTGTGAAACAATATAATTCCTCCATACCTCATGCTGTTTCTTGCTCTTTGTAGCTCCTGTCACTCTGAATATGCTTTCAGCATTAGAAATGAGCAACTAAAGTTTATTTTTAACAATCCATGATCATCACGCCCATCACCAGTTTGCGCGCCACATTCCTGCACTGATTGTTTTGTGAACCTGTCAAAATCAAATGAAGACTATTGCAAAGAGGCTGTTATTGAAGGCAGCCTGGGGTGGTGCAAACCATATTAGACTTGACAGCAAACATGCAGCTCTCAAGTAAAAGCGCAGCAAAGCGCCATTACTGGTGTCATAAAGAGGGTGTTTACATAGACATCTTAAAGGCACAGCAACAAATAAATGACCTGTCATTTGTAAAGGTGAAAGATAAGGTTGTAAAAAAGAAAGTTTGACTGATATCATAAGTGGACTTGAGAGGAAGTGACCCATTTAAAGAACTTGAAATACAGCCAGCGGAGGCTGTTTAGCTGTGCATTTTATCGCTGACAATAAACGTAGACATTAGCTTTCATTTCCCAGCTATCGAACAGTCTAAAAATAGACTTTTTGATTAACACATTTTTGTTTTATTTCTGAATTTTTTGAAGTTTAAAAGAAGAATTAATTATGAAAAATTCCCCCACAAGAATTAAGAATTACTCTTTGATGTTTATGGAAAATTAGCAGGCCTGAGACAATCCGAATTCAAATAAAACAGCAAAGAATTTCCACTGGATGCCAATTTAAGCATAGCATCCTCTTCTCTTGTCCTTAGGTCACTCTGTTGTTGGTCTAGTTACTCCCTCTCTTTTTCTCTCTTTACCTTAGTCAGTAAATTATGAGAAGGGCCTGAAACGGCAGGGTAAAGGGGAAAAAGTATAGAAAAAAGAGTTGGAGGAAGAGAGAGCCTCCGGTGTTTGCAGTCACAAAGCTGCTATGAACAAAAGCTCTTAAAAGCTCCTCTGATGGAGAGGAATAAAGAGTAGCCTAAGGTGCCACTCATATCCCTTCTCCACCAGAATGCTGCCGGAGCAGGTGCTCACCCGGGGGATCTGCGGACCTCTTTTAGAACCGGCCTGTGATTAAACTGACTTCAGAGGCCGGCTAAGATGTAACTGTTATTACATAACTTGCTCACAACCTGCCGCATCACAGTCTTTGTTTACAAGTCTTTGGGCGAACCATGAGTTTACGCTGCATCAGAGAGTACTGTGAATGATTTAGTTTCTACTGAGACGGTTATGTCACAAAGACATAATGCACTTGCGGAAGATGTGTTGCATTTTGCAAAACAAAAGTCTGGAACGAAAGTAGGCATTCGTAGAACAATGAGTATTTAAGAGTCAAATTTACTCTACTGCGATTGTTCACTTGATTTTAAACTTACTCTGCTTTATTTAAATGTAATGCATAATATTCTAATATTTTGGCTTAGATGTAAATGTAATATTATAAATTACATTTTTATGTATTATGTGCTTTTTTAAAATTATTAAATTTTTTAAGTACTATTGAAAAATGTTTTTTTTTTAAAAGAAGTCTCATATGCTCACCTAGTATGCTTTTATTTGATTAAAAATACAGTAAAACAGTGATATTGTGAAATCTTTTTACAATTGAAAATTGTATTGTACAAATTTTATATTGTAATATATTTTTGAAAATAATTTATTCCTGTGATGGCAAAACTGTATTTTCAGCCTCAAGTCTTCAATGCCAGTAATCTGTATAATATGGCAATTTGGTGCTTAAGAAACATTTCTTATTAATTATCAACTATTTTAACATTATCAATGTTAAAATGGTTGTGTTGCTTAATATTTTGGTGGAAACTGTGATTTCTTTTAGGATTCTTTGATTGAATAGAAAGGTAAAAAGCATTTATGTAAAAAAAAAAAAACATTTTGTAACATTATAAATGTCTTTTCTGTCACTTTTGATTAGTTTCATGAGTCCTTGCTGAATAAAAGTATTAATTTCCTTTAAATTATTTTATTTTATTAAAGTAAAATTCATAACAATTAACTCAATTTACTTATGATATTTGCAAATAATTTTCTTTCACATGGACAGAGAAAATAATGTGGCTGGAAAAGTCTACACCTCTACTCTCCTCCCTTCTTTATCATTATTTTATGGATCTTGAGCAAGTTAACCCCTTTTAACCTTGCCGGTGGATATTCACATATCTTTAACCAGTGCCGTTGTTCCAGTTCCCTCTTCTTGTGGCATTTAAACAGTTGCTCTCCCAGGAAAATGTAAGGAGCCCGTTTTTAATATTATTTGCTCTTAAGTTAGAGTCAAGTCTCCGCAGACACTTGACTCTGGCATTTCAGTTTGCTGGTTCTAATGTAAATGTCCTTCAAATGACAGTAGAGCCTGGTGGCATTTCCTAGCACACACACGAACAGAGCCGAGAAATGTCATCTTTTATTTTTGGCCTTTTATTCGCAAGAAATGCCACCCTCGGATGTCTCTTATGAGGATTTTGCTGCTAAACAACCCACCTCTGAAATCAGGTCCAAACATGTATAGTTTATGTTTGATATTTTTTGAGCAAACACACTCACGCAGGCTTAAACACAGAGAATTAACATTTTTATCTTGGTTTAGGGGTGAAAAAGCAGACATCCATTAATAGTTCACCCAAAAATTGAAGCTCTCATCATGTTTAAATCCATATGATTGTTGGTATGGTATTTTTTAAAGACTACTACACTGCAGACACACAGTTTTCAGAAGTGCCAAATGCTTTAGAGACTGAATCTCATTTTACACAATCTCATTTTACACAATCTGTGCACACTTTCCACCTCTGTGTCCTTGTAAATGGAGCAATCTGTGACTATACTATGCTTGAATAACACATAACACAAGATTTCCTTTGATATGATGTAATATGACCTTGTTCTACACAGTTTGGCTAATAAGTACATCTCTCTGTGTGTTTCCAAAACATTTTCACAGTAATTATGTTAAAGCATGTGCTTTTTTAATCTTTTAAAGGGGTCATATGACGTTGCTAACAAATAACATTATTTGGTGTATTTGGTGTAATGAAATGTGTTTATGTGGTTTAAGGTTAAAAAAACACATTATTTTCCACATACTGTGCATTATTGTTTCTCTTCTATGCCCCGCCTTTCTGAAACGCGTCGATTTTTAAAAATCTCATCGTTCTGAAAAGCGAGGTGTGCTGTGATTGGCCAGCTATCCAGTGCATTATGATTGGCCGAATACCTCAAGCGTGAGACGGAAATGTTACGCCCCTCACATACTGTTGATGCCGTGTCCGGCCGGAGCGACGAGACATAAACATTAAAACCCATTACAAACGAGGCATTTGTTGCATCCAGTGGGGACATAATTACAGATTATAATGACTTATACTGTCGTTTTAGGAGGGCGTGGACGAGTCTTAACTTTTATAAAGAATATCTCTGGGTTTGAGACTTTAGTCTTTGCAACTTTAGGGATCTTATCTATTCACGAACAGCTTGTAACACTCCAAAGAGAAAGGAAAACTTGAAATCGCATCATATGACCCCTTTAAAGCCTCGCGAATGGCCAAAACCACCCTTTTTCTTTCCATATAATCCATCCAGTTTCACAATTCCAGATTCGGAATCCCAGTTTCCTAATCTCATCTATTGGAGATCAGTTCTATTTACAGTTTCGAATGGAGTGCACTTGTTCTGAAAGGAAATGCTGAAACACAGCCAGGGAATCCAATTTTAATTCTGCTCAATCTGAGGCTGTTTAGACAGACACAAAGTTTGCAGTCAAGGGGATTGTGGGTGTAGGATATTCTCACCAGAACTGGTTCACTGTCTCTAATTGTGTTTGTTTTACTGGAAGGTACCACCCGGCTGCCCAGAGATGGGGAGGTTCCAGGAGTGGACTATAATTTCATCAGCATGGGGGATTTTCGCATCCTGGAAGAGAATGGATTACTGCTGGAGAGCGGAACATATGATGGTATGAAACACTGTTTCTATACTGATATTGTTCATACAAACTGACATGAATGATATCTCAAATCATATTCCTTGTTGGAAAGAGGTGTGCTGTTTCTTTTCTATGTTATCAGAATTATGATTTTCACCTCAGAGACGATAAAACGGGTGACAAAATTCACATTGAATGCAATGAAGCTTTTCATTTATAGACCCAAAGCCTAAAATCTAAGTTTTGCCAAAATTTAAACACTACTCTTATGCTGCCTGTCAAACACTGGCATTTCTGGAAATGTACATCTAGTGTTTACATTCGATAGTCGTGTTGTTTACTTGACTGAGGTGAACTCTGTCACCAACACCTCGAGGCATTTATCTTGTCTAAAAAGAATTTCATGACAGTGCAGCTTCAAAAAAGTACTATGGATTTAGCCTCCAAATGTGAGTCAGTTAGCACAGGTTTACACCATGCAAACATGCTTTGCAGAGCTTGAGGTAAACTGCTGAAAAAGGACACATAAGGAAGACAAAAATGGCAGTCTGTTGCCTGTAATGGCACTTTCCACAAATTTTCCCCAACAAACGTTGTATGAAAGGAGCTGCTTAACTTTCAGAAAATAAGCAGTACCTAGCTACTTTTCATGCTAAGCTAATTAGGCAATAGTTTATCTTGTGCGTCTGTGTGTGTGTGTGTGTGTGTGTATACTGTATGTGTATATGTAAACTGTTAGAAAAAGGTGCAAATGCTGTACCATTTAGATACTATTATGTACACTTAAGGTTCATATATGTACCTTTAAAGTACTAAAAGGCATCTTTTAGGGGTAAATAAGGTACAAAGGTGTACCTTTTGAAAGAATATGTGTACATTTTTTTTTTTTACTGACCATTTCATTTTTTTTTATAATATATAAATTATTCATGATGTGTAAATATGAGTAAACATGATATGTAAACAAATTATGTACAAAATGTGTGTACGCACACACACACACACACACACACACACACACACTACCATTCAATATTTTAATGTCAATAAGATTTTTTTAATTATTTTATTTAGCAAGGAGGCATTAAATTAATGAAAAGTGACAGTAAAGACATTTATAATTATTTTTCTAAATTTCTATTTCAAATAAATGCTGTTCTTTTGAATATCCTATTCAATGTTTCTTGAGCAGCAAATCAGTATATTAGTATGATTTTAGAAGGATGACTGGAGTAATGATGCTGAAAATTCAGACTTTTTCAAATATATTTCAATAAAAAACAATTACAATTGTAATACATTTTTACTCTATTTTTGATCAAATAAATGCAGCCTTGGTAAGCACGAGACTTTTTTTTTTCAAGAACATTAAGATATTTTGAATGGTCCTATATATAATTTATTTTCAGAGCACTTTCTTTTTCCTTCATTAATGAAACACAAAAAAGCTTTGTGTTTGTCCTCCCCTCTGCAGTCTGGTGGGTTTGGATGTCTCTGTCCTCAGAGACAGATAGCGTGCCAGCCGAGTGCATTCAGTGTGGCCCCATGTCAACAGTGGGACCAGACTCATGCCAGGCAAAGCCTGCTGGGACAGGGAGCCATGCCAGTAGGAAATGCCCATATGTGCTCTGCTCTCAAAGAGGGAGACGTTCTGATCCTACGACACACACACATGCATGCTAACACACAGACGTACACTAATCCCAGCAGACTGTTCCCTAAAGGAATAGTTCACATCAGGAAGTTACAGTCAGGTTTTACAATATATTTACTGGACATTTTACCCTTAATGCAGCATTACTGTATATAGATTTGTCTCTGTGTGGTCATGCTTGAGCAATAGCGAACAGATGCTAGGCATTTCTGATTCCCTCATTCCAGTAGTGTGGATAAATTTACAACTCTCAAGGCAGCTTTTAATGTAATCCTGTCAAAGCAAGCTTGGTTGAATTAAGAGTTGATCCTGATCAATAAAGATTTAGCGCTTGTTGAAAGCACACAGACATAAAGAATCTCAAAGGGGGCGATCTGTAAACATGAATAAACTGTGGCACAATGTACTGTACTTGCTGCCTGTTGAGTCACTTATCAACATAATTTTTAGTCCAATAAATGGATAGATGTCCTGTGCTCACTTGGAATAATTCTCATTTATTGACGTGGTAAAAAAGATAATTTTTGAGTCAGTTAATACATAATAAAGATATATTTTGGAAAAAGAAAAAGTCAAGGGCCGTCAATGTCCAATACTCTGGACACATTTAAAAAAATAATGATAATAAAATACCAAAAAAATATATATATATATTACAATAATGAGACTGGATTTGAGTTTAAATGCATTTATGAAAATATGCAAATAATACAAACAAATCTTAATCTTAAAATAGTTTTAATTTACTTCAAAGTAAAAAAAATAATGATAATAAAATACCAAAAAAAAAATATATATATATTACAATAATGAGACTGGATTTGAGTTTAAATGCATTTATGAAAATATGCAAATAATACAAACAAATCTTAATCTTAAAATAGTTTTAATTTACTTCAAAGTATAATTTTATTTAGTAAAAAATATAAAGATTTTGGATAAAGCAAATGCAATCTATTTTTAGGGCTGTTAAATTGTTCGAATTATGTCATTATTTACAGTAATACATGGGGGGGAAATCATGCTGTCTGGACAAACTTTAATAATAATAATAATAAATTAAGAAAAAAAATCATATTAGAGTAATGAGACAAGTTTTATTGTACTTATGAAAATATGCAAACAAAGCAAACAAATCTTAATCTTAAAATAGTATTTTTTTCTTTTGATTTATAGATGGAAATATGACTTTTCTTTGCGGTTTTCATTTAGATTCACTCAAAGACATTAGATTCACTCAAAATTCATTTTGTGCATTTTTAGAAAGTTTTTAAAATGAATTTGCTGAATGTTAGTACACTTTTTATAAAATGTAGGCAATATATGTGCTACTTTGGACCTCTTATGCTGTGTAAAGCCCATAAACCTCTGCAATCTGTCCACATTCCTCCATTTGATCTATTCTGATGTTATAGCTGCACTTTATGTGCACCAGAATTTTTTGACAACATTAAGAGAATGCAGGGACGTTCCCCTCGTTGAGGGATTATACGGCTCTCTGCAGATTACTGGCGACAGATGAGGCTGTAAATCTGCTCTGATACTGAGTGTGGCACATACATTCTGACTGCATCATGGTTAGCTGAGTGCATATGTGCTGATTAATCAGGGTTACTGCATCATGCAACGGCTCTAATTAGCCAAGCACTTACCTAGCATTTATTTCAAACCATGTTGTATGTAATAAAGAGTTGTGTTGCCAGTGTGTGTTTATCCGTGGAAGGAGATGATCTTTGCTGGTAAAGAGAAGTTGTTCAGTATACTAAAATGTACTGTCTCTTTAAGAAGGTTTCAGTCTTTGAAGTTGAAAATTTAACATCTCTTCCAAGTGGTATGGAAAGTCTCTTATGCTCACCAAGGCTGCATGTATTTGATCAAAAATGCAGTAAAACAGTAATATTGTGAAATATTATTACAATTTAAAAGAACAAAAGCATTAAAAAAATCCTAAAGATTCCAATCTTTTGAATGGTAGTGTACATAGGTTTACTTGCCCTTTCATGTCCCATAAATAAAGTCAAACTGTGGTTAGTTGATTTAAATGTTCAAGCATCCCTTCTTGTCTAATTGTGCAGCTCTTCACCAGAATAAGCTGCAAAATGGACTGAAATTTATGCCGATATTCAAATGTCTGTCTCAGTGAGACTATAGTCTTGGAAACATGGTGTTTTCGCATGATGACGTACAAAATGTATAACAAATGTTATGGTAGCAGCACAAAAAGTTTCCTTATGCTGTGACACTGGATAGCAGGAGATCTCATTTGTATAATGAAGAAAGACAGAGAGGGATAGAGTGAATATTCATCACTGCATATTCATGGGAGGTGAGCGAAGTTGTCAACAGTAGTTAATTGCTTGTGAAAAAGCTTATTCCTACATGGTTTCAGTTTCTATTTGCTAATTAAACTCTTTAGAATTTACAATCTAAAAAGGAGAGGATTAACCTTTCAGCTGATTACATGGATTATATTTTACATTGGCAAAAGATGAATATGTGAACTTTAAAAGCTTTTTTGTTCTTCCAGAGATGTTAATGATGTCTAGGGGCAGCATATTTATTTTAAGAATGAAGCGAGCAAACAAACAAAACAACAAATTTGGATAATTTAAATTAATCTGCATATAATTGATGAAGGTTGAACGGTTGATTTGAAAAAATCATACTGAAAGTGATTTATTTAGTGTTACATCAAGGGGGAATAATGAAGCTCAACCCACACACACACACACACACACACACACATACACACACACATATTGACATGTACCACCAAATTAGAAATTCAATTGAATACATTATGCTGCTCCACTGATTGGCTGTGCCATTGTTTCTGATGCATATTAATGAACTGATTTTTGCATGAGAAGATAGTGGGAATAGTTTCATTACTGAATCCAGTGGTGAGTGTAATTACTTTCAAGGCACCACCGAATGGAAAGAGTATAACATTTCACACTGCATATTGGATTGTCGACACCTAGATCTCTGTTTCTGAGAAAGCTGGGACTGAGGAAGAAAGCGAAGGTAGTGATAAAGAGATAAATTTGCAGGCAGCTCTTGTCTCAGTGTTACAGAATCAGCTGTTTCATCGGGTTTGTGGCTAGTTAAATCGAAGATAATGTAGCAAAAATGTTGAATCAGACCTCTAAAGTTTTAAAGTATCTACTTTTATGACTTAATCAAAGGTATCATGAATCAAAAGAGTTTTTTTTTTTTTGTCTTTAAACAAGGCACTCTTCATTTTCAGGTAACTTCTATGGCACTCCCAAACCTCCTGCGGAGCCCAACTTGGTTCAGCCTACCACCGAATGGAAAGAGTATAACATTTCACACTGCATATTGGATTGTCGACACCTAGATCTCTGTTTCTGAGAAAGCTGGGACTGAGGAAGAAAGCGAAGGTAGTGATAAAGAGATAAATTTGCAGGCAGCTCTTGTCTCAGTGTTACAGAATCAGCTGTTTCATCGGGTTTGTGGCTAGTTAAATCGAAGATAATGTAGCAAAAATGTTGAATCAGACCTCTAAAGTTTTAAAGTATCTACTTTTATGACTTAATCAAAGGTATCATGAATCAAAAGAGTTTTTTTTTTTTTGTCTTTAAACAAGGCACTCTTCATTTTCAGGTAACTTCTATGGCACTCCCAAACCTCCTGCGGAGCCCAACTTGGTTCAGCCTGACCTGGTCGACCAGGTTTTGTTTGAGGAGGATTATGGCACCGAAATCCAACGAAAGCGAACAACCTCCGTCAGCAAGATGGACCGCAAGGACAGTGTGGTCCCTGAGGAGGAAGAGGATGAGGAACGGCCACAGCTCCCAAATGGCATCCCAGGTCCGTGGACAGACTTTAATGTGTGTGTGCTTTTGTTAACCAAAATGTGTACGATTGCAGTCTAAAAATTCCCACCCATATTGACACAGGCTGTGCATTTTTGCAATATATATCTTGGGACTTTGGCTCAGTGTTATTTTAGTATTATTTATATATGATAGTATTTATTAATATTTTGAATTAGCATTATTTTTTATTATTATTTTCAGTTTTCATTTTAATTTCACTTTTAGTGATTTCCTGTTGTTATTTTTTTTTTCCTATTTAGCTTTCATTAATTTTTTTATTTCATTTTTAGTTTTAGTCATTTTAGTACTTCAACTTAAATGTATCAGATAGCTGCCAAATCAACATTTCTAATTTTTATGTTTTTTAAGTGTAAGCTTTTCATTTAATATTTATATTTAAATAATTTAATAAAAAATTGTATTTTTACTTCAGTTGCTGTGCTCCTGTCACTTTTGTATTAGTAGTCATACTTCAGAACTGCAACCCAAAATTTCTGTAACTGTCAGAATTTCATTGGAGGTTAAGATTAATCGCAAAGGCAATTAATAGGCTGTTGGGGAGCATGTCAAATGAAGTGATCAAAGACTGCTGATTTTGCCCTGCAAGAAAGAAGTCTTTAATATTCCTGAAATTTGTTTCAGACAGCAAATCTTTTCCAAAATCCCTGTGTGCTTGAGGCTTTAACCTGCAGTCTTCTTCACTCATGTGCAAGTGATCAGTCTGAGGCCTTACATGATCTCTCAGAGAAGAACCCCGTCCTCTACTCAAGGAGAAATCAGCACCGAGAGGCAAGCTTTGCTTAAAAAAGAGCCAAACCCCCTGCTCACATGCTCTCATTAGTTCACAGTATAACCTTATAATCCTTTTGAGATCAGCAGTTGTGCTTTCAAGGCTCCAGGCCTGAAATTTATGCTCTATTTGTATACTGCAGTACTTCAGAGTAGCGTTTGGCAAGCGAGTCACATTGCTCCATAATGGCTTGCTTAATGCGTGGAGGATTCATGTCCATGACCCTGGTGTTGATCAGCTTTAAACATAAATGAGCTGTTTAGATGTTTACGGGTCTTTAACTTTTAACCCTAGCTTTTAACTTCAGACAATGTAAGCCTCTCGTCCCCAGGAGGAACCAAGCTTATATCCTCAGTATTTTTTCATCTTAAATTATGTATGTCTTATGTAATGATCTTATATTATACTTATATTAGGTGCATCTGTTTTTGTGTAGGCTGTGTGGGATATATAGGTGTACGTAACTTGATAAAGAAATATAAACAGATTTAAACTTTCAGGCCTTGAGTTTCACCAAATCTATCTATCTATCTATCTATCTATCTATCTATCATCTGTCTGTCTGTCTGTCATAGTAAATACTTGACATAGTAAAATGTTAATCTTAGACCGTAGTATCATGGTAATGCTATATTTGCACATGCACCATGATTTTCCATGTTTAATTCCATGATTTTCCATGAAATACCATCTAAATACTGCTAAATCCTACTAAATACTATGGTAATCATTCAGTAACACTGTATATATATCTATGTACTATTGTATTTCCCTTTAATACCGTGGTATCTTTACAGCACCCTTGTTCAATCTTTCTGGTTGCCTTCTTATAGCTTCCTTGAACTTATCTTTACAGTAAATGCTTTAAATAGACTCTTGACACAGTTGTTGTTTCCTGCGATGTATTGCTATTAATTAAAAGCTGCTGTGTTTGTATAGTCATGTTTGACTACTGGGACTGATGAGGTCTTCCCTCCCAGCCTTGGCATAAGCCAGTGGAGAGGGAATAGTTGTTGGGGGGAGCGCTCGGGGTGGGGGAGCGCTCTGGGTCCGGACTTAAACCCGAGCTCGGACCCCTCTCCCCCGGACAGGGGGAGTACCCCGGGCTCGAGAGTAATTACCAAGCTCGGAGCCCTCTCCCCGGACAGCACGCCAAATATGCATAACCTTTACTCTGTTCATTATATGTAAGTGTGAACTCGTGAAGAGACGTTTAATGGGGAGTGTCCTTGCCGCAGAACAGTGTCATATTTGCTTTAAAGTGGCTTCTGCCACTTCAAGTGTGTTCAAACAGAGGGAAAATGGCAGCAAATTAGTTATCATGCATGCACACGCATACTTACTGCTGTTACGTACAAACACAGACAGCTGCTGTTACCACGGGCATTTCTTGCTATGATGCAGTGTTGCGGAAATAAAGTACAATGCTGTAGCCTTTTTTATTGAACTGTAGTCATTACTGCATTCAATTATGTACATTTACTCAAAATATTCAGATTTTGGATGATGTGCAAAACTGCGCAGAATCCATCAGATTAGAGCTTGCAGTTTTTAAAATTAGTCAAATCCTGTTGCATGGTAATAGTCAAAATCTTTGTATAGTAGTTTTACACAGTTTCAAAACAGCTTTACAGAAAATCAGGATGTTAATGTTTATAGTATCTTAATATCTTTGTGCCTTATAGTCACATTTAGCAGATTAGAGCTGGACGATAATATAGTTTATATTTTGTAATAATACAAGCAATCAGGCAGTTGAGATTTGCTATATAGAATATGTCATCCTATGCGCATATACTTTATGTATGTGGATAAGGTTGGACATACTTATATATCCAACTTTATATAAAAAGCTAGGAGGTAATATTGTTACTTTTTGTGATGAAATGAAAAAATCTGGTAAATTTTGCGTGTGTACTGTCTTATTGCAGATAAAGCTGGATATAATATATATCCAACTTTATAGAGATATGCAATAATACATTTTGCATTTGGCGACAATATAAACAATCCAGCAGCCGGGATTTGCTATATAGGATATATCGCCTTACACGAGTTTACTGTATGTGTGTGGATAGAGTTGGAAATACATATATATCCAAGTTTATATAAAGAGCTAGGTGGTCATACATAGTTACATTTTGCAGCAGTAAAAATCAGGCTGTTGCGATTTGCTCTATAGTATATACAGTATATCACCCTATGCAAGTATATTGTACATATGCAGATAAAGATTTATATAATATACATCCAACTTTGTCAATAGAGCTGTGTGATAATGCTGTTTACATTTTGGGATGATATAAATTGTCACATAGCCGCGATTTGCTGTATAGTATATATTGTTTTTGCGATTTGCTGTATAGTATACTGTAAGTATGCAGGTAAAGTAGGTAGGATGTACTATTTATCCAACTTTTGAAATATCGCTGGCCAATAATATAGTTTTTTCAACATTTTTTGACAATATAACAATCAAATTGAGATTTGCTATATAGTAGTAGCAAGATGTTCACGTTTATATGTTATACAGTATATGCTATACAGTATTATGATGAAAAAATTAAAACTAATACAACATATTTATGTAGCATTGATTTTTGTTAATAATTAAATGATGTCATTAAATTTTGGCTATATATGCTTTTTCTGCTGTGTACCTGAAACAGGAAAAGATGTTGCACACCGTCTTACTTTGACATGCAAATCATTCTCCTGAGTTAGTTTTGCATTGTTTTTATCTTCTTTCCTTCTGCAGAGAGGACAGAGGAGTGGAGGAAAGCTGTGCCCAGCTACACTCAGTCCAGTGTGGGAGGCAGCGCTGGTGGCAGTGGGACACTGGAAGTCCACACCTGGAGCTCTTTAGCCAGAGACGACAGCCTGGAACCCCTGCCGTACAACTGGGAAATGGCCTACACAGAGACGGGCATGGTCTACTTCATAGAGTAAGTGTGTGTGGCCGTCAGAGGAGAGATTTAGACTTTACTAACCGCAAGAGGTCTGCTGCTGTACTCATAAATTTTGGGTCAACTTCTGGTTTATGGCCTGTTCATAAATAATAAGGCCTGTTCGTAGCTTTGGGACTAGGGATGTATTAACAGAGAAAAGTGCATTTCATATAAAAAAAGATTTGAAGGAAAGAAGATTTGAAGATGTGCAGTTACTTTAAAGATCTCATTGTGATTTCCATTATTAAATTCCGTTATTCAAACTTGTTGCATCATATTCAGATACAAGATACTATTTATGTTTAATCATGCACATGGGCATATTTCATCATGAGATTAGAGAGCTATGGTAGAGGTTAAGACTTTCAGTATTAATTTAGATGCAATTTCTGTAAATTGTAAATATATTTATATTATTTACAAAATCTATATGTAAATTCTGTCATGATATTAATATTATCCATTACAGACTTATTTTTGGTTATTTTGAACCCATGGCTTTATACCTTTGAACCGAATGTGTACCTTGAAGTCTTGATGTTTTTTTTATTGTTATCACTCACATTGCTTAACGCCATCTGATTTGACACACTGTATATCACAGAATGTTGTTTTTGTGTTTATTATTGTTTTCACACCACTGAATGTCATGCGGGATTTGATGCACTATTCACAATACCAAAGGATATTGTTTTGTTTGTTTTTGTATTTTGTTTTGCATTTATTGCCACTGTAGTATTCCTGTGGAATGTTTTCATTTTTTATTGCTGGAGGTTCTTAAAGTAATATTTTGATGCAGTAGCTGTATGCAAAGACATTATATGCAAATTGCATATTTATACAAAGTTTTTATTTACTGGCTTTAAATTTGCTCCCCAATATTCCCTTTTATAGACAGTAATATTTGTTAGCAGGCAACACATTTCCCCCTCCATAGCGCTGCCGTCTGATTCTATTCAGGTCAACTCTCAAACTCCATCAACATAGTATTCCAGTTTCTGTTTTCACAAACAGCATGCTTTATCACTTTCTCTCCCCGTCTTGCTGATATCTGATGTTTTTCTCACTCTGAAAAAGTGTTGCTTTTAAAAGTCAAGAGCAGAGCTGTCAGAACGAAAGAATAAATATACCTCGCAGTGTGGCCTGAATGCTCTTTAAAGAACAGAGTTAAAGTTCTGTTTGTGTGAGCGTGTGTGTGTGTGCATTTGGGGTCGCAATCATTCATATTTTAGTGGTTCCAAAATTTTCCAGTTTAGTTAATAAGACTCATGACTACAGGCCATTGAAAATCGTACCCTCTTTGACCTGCCAAGGCTTTATAATAACTTTCTTTGATGCATTACATTAGTATAAATAAGCGGTTCTCAAACTGAGGTCAATGCAATATCAAAAATAATCCTAAATAATAAAACAATTGACAAAAAGCACTAACAATGAATTAATCAGCTAATGAATCAGTTCATAATAATAAATGAACACGCTCGGTCCAACTGCTTGCGATTAGTCAGTTCATTAAGGTTTATCAGCTGAAAGTAGCAGTCTAGTTTATTTTAATAAAAGAACAAAACAACAGTCTAGCAAAATGATGGTAACTCGGGGTGTTATGTAGCCCACAATTTTTGTTTTACTCTTGTGAAATACTAGTTTAAATACAGGTCAGGTATCTAATGCATTTTCTTTTTTGTTTTATAGCCACAACACAAAGTCGACTACATGGTTGGACCCGCGTCTGGTCAAAAAAGCCAAGCCCCCTGAAAAGTGTGAGGATGGAGGTGAATCATTGCATATACATATTTATACTTGAAGTCGTAAACATGTATGACAGCTACATGCATATGCAAATAAAAGTTCAATTGCATTCAATCAGATGTGTGTACCCTTCCACATTCACACGCCGGCACACATAGCAGAGGGCATGATTGCATAACCTCATCTGAATGCATTCGCTTCCTCTTGCCTTTTCACTCTATAATATACACACGAGCACACATGATGTCTAACAAAATGTAGCTGCTCTCTTAAGGGAGTTTTAAAGTCCTGTGCTATATGCTCACTGATGCACAATACTTTTCTGTTTGTGCGTGTGTGTGTGAAGCTCTCTGTTGCGTGAACAGCACTTTTTTTTCTCCTCATTAGTTCATTTGCGCATAATGTACGTACAGCAGAGGGGATACACTCTCACACACACAGCGGCTTACACTGCCTGTTTATTTGACTATTTTGTAAACATGCCATCTTTTGTCATAAAAAATATATTTATTTGTTTTTAGATTAATACCAAGCAACATAATATGTGTATGAAAAACCTTTAAAAATATAAAATGTAAATTTTTTTGAAAATTTTTATTTAATTTTATTTAATTTTATTGTTTACAAAATACAGTGTATTGAAATCTTATGATACATTATTAAACACTAGCTTGTTTTGCTTGTTAGGATAGCATTATAAAATATGTATTTTATTAAATATGTAAAGTACATCTTAAATACTTTTTTTACTAATTTTATTAAGAACATATATGATATATAATATATTTAAAGCATAATTAAATCAGAAAAATAGTATTCTATTTGGTCAAAATAATGTAATAAAAAATAATATATTTTATTAAATATTATCATAATATCATGCTGCAGAAAACATAAAAATAAAATTATTTAAATGTTTTACCTTCCTAAATGTTGAAAAGTGGTCATTTATTTATTCATTTTTATATTTATATTTATTTATATAATTTTTTCTGAAGTCCATGTTTCATGTTTTTTGCATGAAAAAAGCTGTCATAATTTAATTTATAACTATTTTACACCCACTCTCATATCCTTACATTAACCAGGCTGTTAAAGTACCTGTAATATTTCTTTATGTAAGTACTTCAGCTTTGTTATGATTGGCTAACCTTTGGCAAAAGGCAAAGTATATTTTAAAAATATAATATTAAATATTTTAATAAAAATATTATTTTAAAAATCAAGGAAATTGATGGTTCTTTGTAATATGACCCCTTAAAAATGTGCATGCTGTTGTTAATGTTGTTGCAGCAGCCATGTGTGTGTGTGTGTGTGTGTGTGTATTGGCATTTAAACACATTGCTTTCGTTCCTTCATCATCAGAACTTCCATATGGTTGGGAGGAGATTGATGACCCGCAGTACGGCACATACTACGTTGAGTAAGTGTTATGATATGATTAGATTTGTTTATAATGCTTATTAAAGTATAGGCTAGCAATATACACTGAACACAATTATAAACGCAACACTTTTGTTTTTGCCCCCATTTTTCATGAGCTGAACTCAAAGATCTAAGACTTTTTCTATGTACACAAAAGGCCTATTTCTCTCAAATATTGTTCACAAATCTGTCTAAATCTGTGTTAGTGAGCACTTCTCCTTTGCCAAGACAATCCATCCACCTCACAGGTGTGGCACATCAAGATGCTGATTAGACAGCATGATAATTGCACAAACAAAAGTGTTGCGTTTATAATTTTGTTCAGTGTACTTTTGAACTTTCTCTTGTCATCCTCAGTCACATAAACCAGAGAACCCAGTTCGAAAATCCAGTACTAGAGGCCAAGAGGAAACTCGGTTTGGACACCGCAGTCGCAACTCAGACCCAACAGAGGGCAGCACCTCCTCCAGGTACAAACGTGCACCTCCCTTACTGTGAATTTAAACTGAATTTTTGAGTGTTTAAAGGGAACAGCAAAGGCACTCAGCATGTTAGAGTTTCCCGACAGCAGCCCGGAGACAAACACACGGGCTCCTCACTGAGTGAATGATTGTGTGTGGGGGAAAGAGGGACAGAAAGATAAGATTAAAAAACGGTGAGTCATCTGCCATTCTCAATATGATGAATTAAAGATTCTTCCATTACACTGGATGCATTATAGATGTGTTTGAGCATGTGCGTAAATGAGCGAAAAACCAGAGGAAGAGAAGAGTGCTGTTTTAGGGTGGATGGATGGGAGTATAAATGTTATAGAGATTGCTTCGCAGCACATCACAGGCTGCATTAACATAAAAGAGAACATTAGCATCCATCATGCATTCACATTGCCTCTCTTTGATCAGTCCCTCTCTAAAACATGGCTTTACTTCTTCACATTCATTCCGAATTTCTGGAAACAACGACTGCTGTCCATTCGGGCCAGTAAATCCATATCTACTGATGTGAACTGTAGTTATCGAGGCAGAGATGACAGGAACACAGGAGTCTGAGGGCTTTGATTGGATGGAGACCAGCCTAACAGACTCTCTATTCAGTCATTAGGAGTTGAAGGAAGAACAAGGACAAAAAACACATTTTCCTTTGCTTTACTGAAATGCTCAGTTATCATGTCAGGGGTGAGACCACAAGAAGTTTCATTGCTTTAGATATCAAAATTGCAAAAGTGGCATCTACAGACACACAATGCTAGAGCTTTCTCAGAAATATGTTCACCAGTGTGATTTTAGTGGATGGATGAACTCAGTTGGCCCTCAGAACTTGCATAGGACATTCCAAAATGTTTACAGTTTCTAAATATTAACATCATTTAATCAGTTACACTACTGTTCAAAAGTTTGAGAAATTAATATGCTTATTCAGCAAGGACACAATAAATGGATCAAAAATGATAGTAAAAATAATTTTACAAAAGATTTTGATTTCAAATAAATGTTTTTTGTTGTTTGTTTTTTACTTTTTATTCAGCAAAGAATCCTAAAAAAAATGTACCATGGTTTCCACAAAAATATTAAGCAGCACAACTTTTTTCAAAATTGATGATAATAATAATAATAATAATGTTTCTTGAGCAAATGAGCATATTACAATAAAGTTATTGTAAAATAGTAATAATTAAAGTTGTAATAATATTTCACAATATTCCTGTTTTTACTGTATTTTTACTGTAAGCATAAAATATTTATTTCATAAACATTAGCAAAGCTTACCGACCCAAACTTTTTGTACAGTAGTTTAATGAAAATAAATATAATTTATAATTTATATTTTTATATAACATATTACATAAGCCTTAGAATATTAATTATATATACAATATAATATAAATATACATATATATATATATTTTAAAATCTTTTTTGTATATATATATTTGTTTATATATATTTTTACATAATAATAATATTTAGATTCTACAGTATTAATATAATCATAGAGGCAAAACAAAACGTGAAACAAATCACCAACAAATGGTTGCAGTTACAATAGGTGGCACTAATCGACAACTACATTTTCTTCTGATTTGAGGACATGGCATGCAACTCTTTCAACAGTATTTTTTCACATTCTATGATGTTTAGCAGTTTTGAAGATTCCTCTTACTTTGAGTCTTGCTGTCAAAATAAAAAAAAAACTATTCACTGTCATTAGTCTTTTCTCTACTGTGTCCTGTCAAAATGGCAAAATCAATGTTTTGACAGGCCTTCCTCCCTGTAATAGAGAGATTCACAGCTGCCATTACAGCATATGCAATCACAGCACACACACACACACACACACACACACACACGCACACACACACAC